GTCATAGACTAAAAGCTCTGTTATGACACATTGTCTTTAGATGTCTTTGGATATCACCTGTCTGTAAAGCACTTTGAGCTGCAACCAGCATGAAACGTGATACATAAATAAAGATTGTAATTATTACTACTTAATTATTTTTATTATAGATGTGGGAGGGTGTCAGACTTTAGTCTTCTAAAAGTCTTTTTATAGTGTGTGGTTAACATTAGCAGGCCTGGAAGGAGTCCTGAGCAGCACGGGGCACGTTTCTCTCTGCCCAAGGGGGCACCATGTTAGTGCAGCACCACACAGGCAGCTAACCCAGGAAGCCTCGTGACCCGGAAAAAGTCCTTAGCTACAGGGGGTAGTGTTGCTCAAGCGGCCAGTCCAAGTAGCTTCGTAGTAGCGTCACTCAAGCGGCCATGTAGCTGTGATATAGCATCACTGCACCAGCTGGCTCAAGAAGCCTATGAGCAGTCGGGGAAAGTAGCTCTCAGCTCTGCTCTGCTTCAGTGAATATGATGGTGAAAAACCTCAGTCAGTGAGGAAACATCAAAACAAACACACAAACAATACAAAACAAACACAAACAATACAAAACAAACACAAACAATACAAAACAAACAAAAGATGTTGCTCCAGCCTGCTCATATCTCAGAACACAAACACACACAATGTCTAAAAAGATGATCTGATATTATTCTTACAGCAATCCCAAAATGAGAAATATGACTTATTTGGATTTGGAAGTTTAAGACGTTTTGCTTGATTCTTTGCAGTGTGGTTTTATTATCTGCCCTACATCCACCAAAACGAACCTCCTGCAGAAGAAGCTTTACTAGCAAACACCTGTGAGCACGTCTCAGCTCTGCTCTGTCATACTTTGAAACACAGAGAAGGTGTTTATCAGGTGAGGAACGGTGGAGAACGCTGGGACTGACGATCGCATGACTGCATTCACAATCTGCTGACAGTCAGCCTCAGTTCTCAGTCAGGGATCAGGAGAAACACCTGAACCTGCTTTTCTCTCTCCTTACACTTCTGGACTGTTTACTTATTTACAAAAAAAACAAACAAACATTGAAATCAGCCTCATTTCTATTTATTTAAAGGGAGGGAGCTCCACCCATTTTTCCAACTTCTGCTAAATTCAGTGGCTGAAATGGAGTCAGAGTGGTTTGATATTAAATGGTATATTGGCATATTGTAAATGGTATATTGTAGAGAAACCTACCGATGTCTTTACAGTGGTGGTGATAGGAACCAGGGGTCGTCATGACTACAACACAGATACAGACATTTTATTTACTATCCAGAACCACCAGTGAACCTACACGAGTCTTCTGAGTTTATATGGAATGTTGATGATGGAAAATAGTGGAAAATCTGAAATAATAAGTTTTCTTTGGGGACTATTTTGCCTGCATGTATTGTTCTGCCGTTAATGAGTCAAATATATAAATAAATTGATTAAAATACATTTTAAGCCAAAACTTAATCACAAAACTATCGTAAGACAGCATGTCTGACATCAGGCAGTGAATTCATAACCATTTCATGCAGGAACTTTCTGTGAGGGAGCTTTTAGAGGTGGACGTCTGGTTCCTATCACCACCACTGTGAACATTACATGAACTGCTCTGATTACATCCTGACCAGTTAATTATGTAGATGTTTTGAAGAATGAGTGGAACTGCTCTTTAAATAAATCTAAGTAATATATATATATATATATATATATATATATATATATGTGTGTGTGTGTGTGTGTGTGTGTGTGTGTGTATACCTCGTATCTCCACAATGGTAACTTTACAGGAGAAGGAAAAAACCTACTTTACTTTTAATGTAAGAATTTTTCCAAATCGTTTTGGGTCTTTTCTTTTGGTCCATTCATCATGAAATTTACACACAATGTAAAGAGAAACAGACATTTTCAAATTATGTCAAAAACTGAAAAACAATGACGTTGTTGAAAAATGAAATGAAGCACAACTCTTTACAACACTCGTGCCCACACACTGAGGGGGTGGGGGGTTGGACGGGGGGGTTTAGAGGAGTTAGAGGGTCTTACACCGTGCTGCATGGCTTTCCACACAATCCTCTGGGAAGCAGCGTTCAAAAAAGAGTAAGAAGTGATTAGTTGAGGACAGAGAGAGACACAAAGAGAGAAGGAGCACAGTACGAGAGAAATGGACACATTTAAATTAGAGCCGTCAAAGTTAACAAGGTAAAGTGCTGAATTTTAACACTAATCTTTTTATGCTGTTAACTGGTTGTCCGTGGTAGTGCAGGCTGAAGCCCGGCGGCAGTGCGCTGTGTGTCGCTCTGATCGAGTCTGTGATTGTAACTCTCTACAGCTTTTAAGTGGCTTTTAAACCCTCAGCAGACCACCCTGGCCAGCTCTCGCTGGAGAACTATGGACAACTGAACCAGCAGAAAACTAACAAAAGCAGCAGCACAGTGGAGCTCCAGTTCCCCTCAAGAGCCTCCACTGTAGGAGAATCCACAAGCTGTACGAATGAGAGTGAAACAGGAGGCTGCAGTCAGGAGTGGAACCACTTACTGTACATGGATCATTCGACAGAACTGAGTACAGAACCTACTGCACACATTTAACTGACTTACACTTTAGACTACAATCCTTTTGCTTTAAGTGACCCGGTACCTTCATTTATTTTATATTTATATTATATTGTAATTCTATTTCATTTTTAATAATTAAGCTTATTTTATTTAAATAATTAATTGCCAATCATTTTGTCACTACCAACGCAATAATAATGCTTTTGAAATGTTATCAAGTGTTTCGGGAGTGATGATTTCATGTAATTTTACTCATAACTCAACAACACTAGCCAGGACATGTCTAACAAACACAGCTTCCAACAGCTACACTAACATAAAATTAATACAATTATCTATTAAAACACAAAAAACTTTAATTTAATTGTAGAAAATCTGTGTTCCAGTAGTGACGATTCCTAATATTACACACTGATTTTCAGACTTTGGGACACGTTTACTCCAAAACGATGGGATCTAACTGCTCACCATGTGGCCATGAGGGGCAGGGATGCAGCATCACTTCCTGCTCTGAAATGCAGGGGCGTGGCTAAAATAAGCCTCCGCCTACTGACTAACACTTTTGGTAGTGACATGAAAATGTAGGACAGCATTTTTTGAATAAGGCTTTTTTTTTATTTAAATTTAAACTCATGAAAATGTAATTTTTTCAACTTCACTTTGAAATGGAAAAGTTCTTTTAAAAAACAACCCTATAAATGATGAGTTTGTGATGTGAGTAAATTATATAAATTATAAGAGATTGTGTCTCAATCAATACCTTAAGTTTAAATAGATCAGAACAAAATTGATGTAAATATCTACTGTCTGAACTTTTTAATTGCTTTATTAAAACAGTTTTTCTAATTCAGTGATTCAGTGGTCCATATATAACGATCTATACACTCACTGACTGGAACAAGCAGCGACTGTTGCTCTCAGCAAAAACTGCATTCACTCTGTGAAATCACGTGATTTTCATGTTCAGGTTCTACATTTGCACCATGAAAATAATATGACTGAACTACTGAAAGTAAAGAGAGGTAGTCATCTCATAAAATCATAAGCAGCATAAACTGCTTTATGAAAAGGAAACAATCTAATTTGAGCAAACAAGACAAATGCAGGTAAACGCAATGAACTACACAAAGAAGAGTGAATAACTGCAATGAAGCACATAAAATAATGTGCTTAACTGTAATCATCATTATCTACACTTAAATAGATTGATTAAACAATTTGATTAATTACAATCAATGGCATGAAATAATTTGATTATCCACAACTAACTAAACAACCCACAGGGAAAAAATGTATATGTATTTCTATGTATTTGAAATACATGTCAAACACTCTGCAGTCGATGCTGAAATACATCCAAACACTAAAATGTGCTTCAGAATATTTTGTCATATTAACCAAATATATTTTAAAATGCATTTATTTTAAAATGTATGGGGAAATATTACACACAGACAAAAATAACTGTGTAAATGTGTTTATCACATTTGAAAATGTATGAAAATATCCAGAATCCTGTCTGATGCTCTTCACTGTCTGATACCTTTAGAAATGAATTTGTGTTCCAGTATCTTCATTTTAAATCTGATCAAATGATCCTTTAACAGGACAGAAGCGAGTGTTGTGGGTATTGATACTCTGTGAAAATGCAGTTATGATCTGATATCTTGTTTATGTGAAATACATTGTGTGTGAGAGTCTGACTGCAGACGTACATGGTTAATGTAAAGAACAGTGCAGATCACAGTCAGTACGTTTAGTTACATCTGTAATCTTTTAGCTGAACACAAATACTAACAAATACAGATAAATGCATTTTAAAATATACTTAACATTTTTGGCCATATATGTAATATATTTTTGTTTTATTTAACTGCATAAAATAATGCAACTGATCAGGATTAAATACACAAAATAATGTGATCAACTGTGATTTAACTCGTTAGACAGAGCTAATTTAAATATCGAATCCTAAATCACTCCTCAGTTTCACTTCTGGTAGCTACACTGTTATCCTCACCATCAAGGTCATCCTTAATCGATCTGAGAGAACAAAGACGTAAAAAACCACGGTAACAGACGAGCTAACGCACACACGCACGCGGAACGCCACGGAATTCAGCAAACACAAAATTACTGTCCTTCTTTCATGTTCGGAATGGAAAACAAACATTGAGGTCGAAGTTGAAGCAGCTGGTAAATGTAACTGTCTCTCCTGAGCCAACAAGTAACAGATCGAATTAATCTGTAAACACAGATCAATCGAGAACACTGCGCAAGCATACAGGCTGCACTGACCATGTCCAGCAGATATCAAACCCCCGTTCCGCCTCGCCTGCGGGTGAGGTCAACAAGTGCAGCAACGCAAACTGCCTGACAGATGATCATGTGGATGGAGGGCCGCAAGCCTCTGGGGTTTACCCCCTCCTTACCAGGCGGTCCAGGCTGGTCCCAGCGGTGGTGGTGGGCAGCTCCTCGGGGCTGTAGGGCCTGAAGCGTGTGCTGAAAACGTCCGAGATGGCGCGGGCAGACCTGCTCATTCCCGAGGGCTTGGGCTGGCCGCAGCCTTGAAAAACCTGCAATTAGAAAGAGAGGACACGTCCTCCACATCCAGCAGAGCTATCGAGTTTCCTCCGAGGAACCGAGGAAGGAAAACAAGGCCTGCATTCCAAAGAGCGAAGAACTCGCCGCTCGCTCAGCCCACGAGGTTCCCAAATATGCCTACAGGCTGCAGCGGTCGTGTAATGCCTTATGTTGGGATGACTCTTATTTTTAAAGGTTTTAAGGAAGGGGAAACACTGAGTGGTCCAAACTGCTAAACTCGCACTATTAAAAGAAGCAGTTAAAGCTGACCGAACTGCTTAATCCGTTTCCTTTCTGAAAGAACTACAATTAGAGGTCGAGAGAGAATGCAGAGAGATTAACGACTGTGAGCTACAGATTTCTGACCGTCCACAGCCACGGCAGCCATACAGATATGTGTAAGCGGAGATAACCGTGTTTCAGGCCTGTAGATGATAAAACACCGGCCTTCCTCAGTCGCTAAGAGGATTATTCGAGTGAAGGCAGGCGGTTTGTTTGACATACTTGGTAGGAGAGCTGCACGCTTTTCTCCTGCATATTCATGATGGCCTCTGAGATCTTCACATCGATCGGCTCCATCACAGACTCGATGTTGAAGGGTCCCTCCAGCCGCTCCGTCACCAGCAACATGGCATCTGTCAAAACAGAGGGGACAAAGGGACGGGTGGGGGGGCCGTTGAGGGGTTTTGTTAGACTGTAATCCATCTGCCTGATACACTCGTACCAGAAACTACCAGGGCCGATTTTGTGCACAATTCTACCTGGGCTGAAACTCAGGGGCTCAGAGTAATTCGAGGCCTCTCACTGTTTTTTATTTGTGAAATTTATTTATTTACCCACACATACACCAGTGATTGTCTACTGCACGTTATTTATATCTGTGATTGTTAATTCAGCTGGATTTTTTCATAACATCAGCTCTGAGCTCATAAAACAAAATCATAAAAAACATAAAAGAGCAATGTTTATGAAAAAACATAATAGTGGGATTATAGGTTCACTACTCTCTGAGGTGTCAACCTCAGCTAACGCCAGTTTACTCATAGCCAAGCTCCAATGTTAAAGACCCCCTGCACTGAAAAATGTGTTTTTTTAATGGTTAAGTGGTCAGAAATTGCTTATTATATTTATATAGACTGACATTTATTTATTTTTAATACATTTGTAAGAAGGCGATTCGTGGGGCTCTACGTCACAGCTTCGCTTTTGTACATCATGAAAGAGCTTGAGCCTATCACGATCCATTATACTAAAATATGCTAATGAGAGGAGGCACCGACAAAAGCTGAAGTACCAGGTAGGTTTCTAATAAAGTGGCCAGTGAGTGGAAGCACAAGATAGGTGTTTCTAATAAAGCGGCCAGTGAGTAGAAAAACAAGGTAGGTGTTTCTAATAAAGTGGCCAGTGAGTAGAAAAACAAGGTAGGTGTTTCTAATAAAGTGGTCAGTTTGTATAAATATTTTTCTCTTATTTCTATGTCCTGGTCTTCTTCAGCGCTAAGACTAAAGTGAATCCTAATTTATTGCCTACAACTTCATAGCATTAGAGCGCCAGGCTTGAGGCTGTATGACCAGATGACCGCTGAGGAAGATGTGAAGTAACCACTGCTGGCCCTGTGTCCTTTGGTTAGGCCTTCAACTGCCCCCTCTGCTGTATCTAATGCTGAGTGGGTGACCCTTACTCTGACCCTGTTTTCTGACTGCTGCTTGGGCTATAAAGGGTTTCAGTGACACAGTGAGGACATTTTCTTTTCCTCAGCATTAAATTTCCAAGAAATCTAAATGGGCTTCATTTTGAAACGCTGCCCACCCCGAAGGAAATGCGGAAGTGCCAAATCCAGCCTGGAAAATGCACGTTATTACATATTCAGGAACATGAATAACCAACGCTCTGACCCAGCAGTGACCCGTCACACAGACACAGAACAATAACTCTGTTCATTATGCTCTTCTTTTGCATATTTTCAGCATTCAGCGAGTGCCCAGACTCTGAATTTAGATTCTGCTCAGTGACGCGATGCGTGTTCATCTTTGTTCACTAAAACGTCTGAATTTATTGTGCGGCACTGGGAACGTGTCGTACTGCTGCTCTGCTGTTTCTCCTCTCTTTCTCAGCCAAGCAGAACCTCATATAGATGTGTTCCAGGAGAAGGAGGAGCTTACAGTTCTTGCCCCACTCCAGACTTCTTTCGAAAGATGAAGTCATAGCACACAGAACATTATTAAAGAACCACAGAGCTTCAATCAGGCCTGAATTTTTGAACCCAATCTGAACACACAGGAGCTGGAGAACTCCAGTCTGAGCCAACCCTCAGCACCAAGAGCAGATTCCACACCCATCCTGAACCTGACAAACATCAGTCCCAACCCAACCTGAACTAGAATCCTACCACCACCACCAAGAGACTGAATAAACTTCCAAAGATAGCTGTTAAATTATCTTGTAGCAACAATGACACCCTGTCACACTGCTGCACTCAGACTGGGCTTATGGGTCAGCTGAGTTAAAGCTAAAGGTCCACATTACTATAAGGAGAACACCAGCGCTACACTAGACCACACTGTAAATCATTCCTAAACTCCACTGCCCTCCAACGTGGACATGAGAAACCTTACACTGCCCATTCACTGTTTGCATTGCACAAAGAAAGCTGGCTTCGTTAATTGCAGAGTTTGGGTAAAGTCCAGCTGAAGTCCTGAAGAAGCCCTGCAGAAGCTTTGCAGAAGTCCAACTAAAGTCCTGTGGAAGCCTAGTAGAAGTCCAGCAGAAGCCCAGCAGAATCCCTGCAGGAGCCTTGCAGAAGTCCACCTGAAATCCTACAGAAGTCCAGTTGAAGTCCACCATTCCTGTCTGCATCTTCTGCTCTGTCTGGGGCAGCAGAGGGGTGGAACTTTCTGACAAACATCAGGATCTTCTGATGATTCAGAGGCTTTAACTGAACTTCATTCTGGTTCAGGATCATCAGAGTAAGAGCTACAGTTCTTTTGGACAGCACAGACGCTGGTTTCTGATCAGAACAGCATCTGATCAGTGCAAAATCAATGTTATATCAGCTTTAAATCAGTGTTTATTCAGCATATGGTCCAGCATTCTGTATCTGAGTCTGTCCAGGACAGCTCCATCACTGCAGCTGACCTGAAGAAACATTCTAATAATTTTGCTATAATGAAGTCGGCCAATTAGTTGTCATCATCCGCACTAAACTCATGTCTCTGAGACATAATGCCTGCTAGCCAGCCCCCCTAACCTGTAACCAGGACCCCCTGTAATGAAATTCTGGCTGTGCCGCTGCAGCAGAAGGTCATGCAGTGGTCAGCTTAGCGAATTCTCCATGGGAAACTGCATGTAATTTTTGCAAATTTGTGTAAAGCCCCTCACATTAGAGCTAAAAACAAAAATGGATGAGTCATCTTTGAGTGGCTGAAGAGTGCTGACCTCCTGTTTTGCTGGAGGGAGACTCACCTTCCGTCCTTAAGGTGTGGTCAGCCATAGCCAACACCAAATTATACACGTCAGCAACTAATGACCAAGGACTTGTTGTTACAGAGACATCAGCTGTATTCTACCCCCCACGCAGACACGCAGACCCTGAGAGATGCCACCCCTGTTAACCCCGCCCCTGCAACAGTAAACCGCTCTGGAGCTCCACTGGTTTGACCCAGCCAGCAGTGACCGTTCTCCAGGGCTTTAACCGGCCCGATGTCCAATAAAGAGGCCTTCTCTTTCTCGGCTCGGGTTACTAATGGAGCTCTGCTGCTGCTCCCTCGTCGCTTTCACAACACAACATCTGTCCCAGCTGCCTTAATGCCAGACGAGCAGAGCTGCAGTGCTGGATTCATCCACAAATATGTCCGAGGAAGCCTTCCTTTCCTGTCAACACGGGTTTTCTCAGGGCTCGGCCATGTGCTCTGGCCTGTATTAACGCCACAAAAGCACCCGGACGTGATCTGGACGCAGTGAGTCCGGTTGGGCCCAGACCGCGGCAGCCGTGGTCGAGCCACGTTCACCCAACTTTTTCAGACACGACGGCTCCAACCAAACACATTTCTGAGGGGAAAAGGCATTTGGGAATTTCTAATCGCATCCAAACAACCTGCTGCTGTTGTTTCAAAGCCAAACATCATAAATCGTCCAATAGCTGCATATTTTGACATATTGACTAAAAAGAATGGCAAATATGCTATAAAATTGCCAAAGTAAGTGCGATAAATGGTGTATTAAGACTGTCACATGACTGACCACGTCTCCATTTTTGCAGCTGTAGCTATTAAACCTCACAGAAGTGGACTGAAGAAATGAAAACATACCTTCATCTTAAAATAAACCCATAATGGTGATAATACAGCGGTCACCATGTTCTGTCTCCAGGTGTGAAATACAGCCTTAAAGCTTAACATGACATAAAACAGAACAGCGATGAAATGATGCTCGACATTAAAGATTTCTCTGTAAACTCACTCCATATTTCTCAGAAGGGCTTTATTTAAGAGTTTTACTCTCACGCACAGAACTGACGGAAGATAATTTGCATTTTTTTTAGTGACATTTAAGTTCCTCACTGCTAACAACAGCTCACTGCAACAAATGGTGTCTTGTCAAGTAACATTTTCTTGAATATAGTCTATAAATCTAATATTATTCTTTTTGCGATTGTTGTAAGCTTACTTTAAGATTATTTACCTCATTTATAGACATTACTTACTCGTTTTAAGTGATTTTATTAGGTAAAATGATCTCACTATAGTGGCAGATAATGTTGCTTGTTGTAAGAAATGAGCTTGAAACCAGCAAAATGATCTGCCAGTACAGTGAGATCATTTTACTGAATTAATGACCTAAAACAAGTGAACAACATCTAGAAATAAGCTAGATAATCATATAATAAGTGCACAACCATCTCAAAATAATAGTATTAGATATACTGACTAGACTTGCCATTTTTGCAGTGCTGGATGGAAACACGCCCAATGCCACCTTCTAGCCCTGAACCGCCCACATCCGTGTTAATTCACTAGGAAGAAGATCACGAGCACTGATGGAGACGGTGAGAGTGATGATGAAATATGAAGGCTGATATAAACGATAGAAAAAGTTTATTAAAAAATATTATTAGACACCTCCGTCTGAGGGTTTCCAGACCAGAGGCCCAAAGCTCCTACCGTTGTCTGGAAGTGGTCAGAAGCTACTGACACTCTGACTGGGAGTGTATGGTGTGGTCAGATGAGAGTATAAATAAATTTCTGGCCATCGTCCCTGCAGGTGGCCAAAGGACAAGCTTAGACAGAATGAACTCAATAATATGGTGGAGGGTCTCTGAGCTCTGAAGCTCATCAGCATGACGAGTCCTTCGACATCTCAGTTCAAACACCTGACCGCGCAAGACTGGACATTGGAGATCGATCTTTCAGCATCTTTCAGCTCTCCTATCTGGAATCTGGAACCTTGAAGGAACCTAAAGAAGCAGGGCAGGAAAAGAGCTCCTACCATCATCCTCACCATCAGGAGCTCCATGAAGATCTAAAACCTGGGGTGCTGATAATGATGGTTCTGCATTTAGGAGAAGAATAAAATATCAGAACGAGTTAAAACTTTTCTAAAGATGTTCTTTAAATAACTCCGATAATGTGACACATTG